TTTGAAATATTTTACAAACCTTTTGTTTTGTGTTGAATATGAAATAATAATGGTATTGAAAGTGCTTAAAAGTATTCTCAATGTATTTCTCCTCTTCATAGAATGTGTGACCTTCAATATTTATGAGTACTCTTAAATGGAATCAAATAATTATTCTGGAATTTATTTTGTTATGGCAAGAATAGAAATTTGAGTTAAATTTTATTAGTTGATTTGTGATACACTTAGTTTTAGGTCATTGTCAGTATGGTGTAATGTAATATGTAGGAAAAGTAGTGTTATTTGTTTCTGTTTTGTCAGTGAATCTTATCATATGTCTGATTTTGTTTAGTTTACAAGGTCAGGTAATGTAGTTTTTGTGGGATATATTAATATAGCATTATCAATATATCGGAAAGATGTTGAAAGGACCCAAGTTCAAGTAATTCTAACAAAACAAGCTAAAACTCCGCTCAGAAGTGAACCCATTGGTAATCCAAATTTTTGTTTATAAAATTATTGTTAAAAGTGAAATAGCATTGATGATGACTGATGAGAATCCAGATTTTTATGATTTTAACTATCAGTAGGGAGAGGTTTATTTTTGTTTGTGATGGATGATTTTTTTTTTTTTTTTAAATTTAAACATTTAACAACAGGAACGTTGGTGTAATGGCATTTAACCTCTAAACTAACCATGAGTTTTTCTTTCATATTTATTCCCCTTACTTATTCAACCAGATTTCCTGAATTTTTAACATGTGATATGCTGATTGGTCCAAGTAGAGTTGTTTTCTTTCACCAGTTTATATTGGGGTACCAATACCTGATAGAATGGCGTGTATTGGAATGTATAAAGTTTAGCTATTTATTCTATTAGTTTATATTATGATTTGTTTCCTTTGCTAACTGGTTTTCTGATTTCTTTGTAAAATTTCTGTGTTTCTGTAATTTTTGTGTCCATCTATTTTCTCATATGTGTTAGTATTGTTGAGTAGTAAATTCATTTTATCATTGAATGTGTTCCTATTGATAAAAATAATCACACATCCTTTATCTAAGGAGGTAATGTGAATTTCCTCATTTTTTTGCTAAGCTTCAAAGTACATTTAAAGTAAAGTTCTTTCATTGTTCGTTTCAAGAGTGGCAGTAATTATTCCTTAAATGAAGTCTTTGGTAAATTATATGCTGATTTTTAACTATTGTATCAACTAGGTCTATAGTGGCAAATTTTAATCCAAAGCTCAGGACATTCAGTTCAGTATTGGCTAGTCTTATATCCGATAGATTTTCTATCGGGTCTACACCTCTAATGTATTTCTATTTGTTATTGGTATGTATTTGTATTTAGTATATGTTGTAATTTATTGATCTGATTGTTTGCTGATATCTATCATCTATAGTAAATGATTTTTTTTTTTTTTTTTTTTTTATATAAAAGCTAATAATGCTACTAAGACACAAAGGGTTACTGGGAGTGAAAGAGATCGAGAAGACATTAAAAGGAACCAGAAACCCAATTCTGGCCTTGTGCGGTGGGGGTTGAGATAAACCACAACCCTGTTCAAAAACCTGAAGACATGTGAACCAGACAATGATATAAAGTTTTTTTTTTTTTTTTTTTTGTGGAGTTCTAGTTCGGCATTTTTAGCTTTTTTGAAAGTTGGTTTTCCATTTTTTAATAGATGACTTCAAAAATCACACACATAAGTTGGTGAAATGTCCTTGGTATCTTACATGTGCATCGTGGGATGACTTTTCCTTAGCAAGAAATATTAATTTTTTTTTTTTTTTTTTTTTTTTTTTTAAGTATTTGATGTTCATCTCTGTACATATTGTGGGAGAAATGATAATATAATTTTTTATGTACCAGAACAATGCTAGGAAACATTTTTCCACTTTGTCATTATTTTCCTAATATTATTCCGGTATATAAAAGATATATATCCTTTTCTTGCATACATATTTTTTCTAAAGTGCGTTGTGACTTATATCCCCTTAGATGATTGAATTCTTGAAATTTTTTTGTTCAATAAGTGGATTCGTTGTGAGATTGGTTACCTCCATGGTCTTCCTAAAGGAACCTGAAAAAAAAAATGCATTTTAAATAATGTCTTCTTTTAAGTTAAATTTTAGTTTCATTTGAAAGATAATAAATACTTTCTTTACCTTCCAAGCTAATAATCCGTATGTAAAGAATAAGTAATTTCCATGTGTAAAAATAGATTTTTTAGGCATTTTTAAACACATTGGCACGTTCACATATCACTCCTCGATTCGACATTACAGACGAAACAAGTAAACAAGAAATTTTAAAAATCTCTTAAAAAGTCCAGTATTTGTCCTAGAGATGCTTTAACAAAAATGTTTAATTATGGACGGTAGCATGCGAGTTCAGAGGTCAACAGCAATAATTTTCTAACTTCATCCCTGACTTAAAAAGCGCGCGAAAAAAAAAACAGCAGTGCACTATATATATATATATATATATATATATATATATATAGAGAGAGAGAGAGAGGTCTGTACGTCTAAAATAAAATCCGTTAAATGCAAGTACCGAGTTTCAATTTTGTTTTTTGACTTTCATTGAATTATTTCTTTTAAAGTTCGGGACGAATTTTGCGTGTGTTCATATTGCATAAGTTTTTTTTAAATGAGATTTCAGGGATATTTCAAGTTTCACAAACACCCTACAATTAAAAAGTATAGACAAAATATCGAAAAGGGAAGGTGAAACTAACCTTCAAAAAGATATTTCTACAGTTTTAATAAAATGTCTTATGAGGTGTATACAGTGAGTAATTCATTCATAATAAGAACTGAAAATTTCGTCTAAATTAGGTGATTCCTTGATTTTATGCACATTCTTAAAAACAGTGGGTATCGATATTTTTAATTGAATTTCGATAAAAAAAAGTATTTTGATTGTATATTGAGGGTGCGATGGATAAATTATCACCGTTATTTTTAATTTTGCGCATGCGCGTTGTTTTTGATTTATTTTTATTTTTTTTTTTTTTTACTGCACAGTAGTGGGTCAGTTGGGCGCAGTCTTTGAGAAAAAGAGAACTATTGCGCAATTCACTCTGGCAGAAATTTGGAAATGGCATGCTGTACTGCTTGGCATTCGCACCGGAAGCTCCAATACAAACATTTAAGTCTTAAATTTTAAGAATATCTGGGTGTCAATCTGAGGACAATGCAGAGGATTCGGGAAAAATTGGATGAGTCTAAATGGTGATTATGAAGGTGTTTGGAGGGATCATTAGTGATGGCGACGTTATGCTTCCATTCATCTTCATCAGACTCAACACGGAGGCCTACGTAAAGTTCTTTGAGGCGGTAATGCTACCCTGGGTCAAGAGGGTGGCTTCTGGAAGATTCTGGATGTCTAGCGATAGGACTCTGCACCATGCTAAACAAGCAGGAGAAACCATTCATGGCTGTCAGACAATTTCTGCAACCACATCACCCCTTATATCTGGCCACCTAACTCACCAGACTGCAAACCCTTTGATTATGTGTGGCGCGAAGTTGAAGAAAAGACCAACAAAGTTACAAAACTCTTTGTAACACCAAAGATGAGCTGAAGGTAAGGATTATGCCAGTATTCCCCAACTTCAAGGAGACCGTCTAAAAGAATTGCAAGAGATTCAGAAGTCGTCTTTAGGCCGTGGTTGAAGCTAATTGCGATATTATTGAATAAATTGACTCGTTAATATTTCAAGATATTTTTGTGTAATTTTGGTAAATATATCTATTAAAATAAGATGTCAGTGTTATTTTCATTTTTGCGTAATTTAAACGACAATTTACCCATCGCATCCTTCAAAGAATCGCAAAGAAAATGATCATACATATTGAAAAAAAAAAAATGGCAAATATTTAATTCAGTTTTATCATCAAAATCTTTTATATTTATTATAATTTTTGAAATCCTTTTTAGAATATTCTTCATATTTTAGTTAAGTTTTTGTTTTTCTTGTGTCAATGAGTGACCGTGAATTTTAGTATAGGGAATTTTATCAACTTTTTGCAGTGCAAAACACTGATTTCGAAATGCTTGCAAAAATCAGGTATTTGTTGGATTTTAATGAAACTTTAAGAACTGACATTTTTTCTTTTTTAAATATTCGTAAAAACATTTATTTTTTTTTATTTGCTTCTGTTAAACTCCCACTGGTTTAGTTTTTTTTTTTTTTTTTTTTAAATGAAATATCAAGAAATTCATTTTTGTAGCACTTTATGTTTATAATATTAGTTATAAGGACAAGTCCTCGGAGAAAATCCTGAATTTTGTGGGGAGGTTCGGACAATTATAATTTAACGCTCGCACATAATTTGATTAAACAAACATACATTATTTTTAAACCGATTAAAAAGTTCTTATCTGGGACGAAACGTGTTAATAATTTCTTTTTTTCCATTTTTTTTTTTTTTCTTCTCTGATTTGCTTAATGCATACCATGTCCCTTCAGAATTAACGCAGTTATGATTGTCCACATGTTCCATTTACCCGCAAATTATCATTGATTCTTGGGAAAGACAGTGGAGTCACTTTCTATTGGAGTGTCATTTCATTGCCTTCTCTATGGTTCTGAATTAAAAACATTTCTTCTAAGATGGACTAGCACCCAAATCTAGAAAACCTAATCTACTGAACTCAATAGTTCGGAGTGAAACGATGGATTCATGCATTTCCCAATAACGACATTTAGTGTGAAAACACTCTCTAGTTAATTCTGTGTTTATTTTTTTCTTTCAAGCCGATTATTGTTACGCTCTACGTACGGCGTCTTGGTCTAAGGGAGACAACCACGGACAGCAACTTCGTCGCAGATGTTATTCAATTCCAAGCTTATGTTTTAGAGTTATATATGTATGCAGAGCAGGAAAAAAAAAATGTCCGTGTTGCCTTTTATCGTTCTATAATGATTTGGGATTATCCTTAATCTTATCGCTGGAAAGCTCAGCCTAGGAAAATATCTTTCTTAGAACAAGACGGCTTTTTGTGCAGAATGAAACTCCTCTGTCTAGAACAGCTGTTTAACTTCAACTGTAGTGGCTTTCGATATACAATGTAAAAATTTTAAAAAAATGCAGACATACTATGCGACATCTTTTTAAAATAATAAACTCGTTAAATCACTTGGAAAAATTGAAAATTTATAAGCTTTTTTTCTTTTCCTTTTTTTCTTTTCCTTTTTTTCTTTTCCTTTTTTTCTTTTCCTTTTTTTCTTTTCCTTTTTTTTTTTCCCTTTTTTTTCTTTTCCCTTTTTTTTCTTTTCCCTTTTTTTTCTTTTCCCTTTTTTTTTCCTTTTTTTCTTTTTTTTTTTTTTCCTTTTTTTTTTTTCCTTTTTTTTTTTCCTTTTTTTTTTTTTCCTTTTTTTTTTTTTTTTCCTTTTTTCCTTTTTTCTTTTTTTTTTTTTTCCTTTTTTCCTTTCCTTTTTTTCCTTTTTTCCTTTTTTTTTTTTCCTTTTTTCCTTTCCTTTTTTTTCTTTTTTCCTTTCCTTTTTTTTCTTTTTTTCTTTCCTTTTTTTCTTTTTTCCTTTTTTCCTTTTCTTTTTTTCTTTTTTCTTTTTCCTTTTCCTTTTTTTTTTTTCCTTTTTTTTTTCCTTTTCCTTTTTTCCTTTTCCTTTTTTCCTTTTCCTTTTTTCCTTTTCCTTTTTTTCCTTTTCCTTTTTTTCCTTTTCCGCAAAGCAAGGCAGTAATATCACTAAAATACAAGGGCCTATTGGGAGTGAAAGAGAATGAAAAATACTCTCTAGAAGAAACTAGAAACCTAATTCTAAACAAGAATCAAGGGATAAACCTCGACTCCTGTTAAAAAAAAAAATGGAGATGTGTGAACTGGTAGATAGGCGAACCTATCTACCCCTATTGAGGTGAAAAAGATAGTAAATAAAATTTTAGAGTTAAGGCGAAGACCTTAGAAGAATAGAGTTGAATTAGAATTTAAAAGGAACTAGAAACCCAATCCTAAAATGGAAGCACATAGCATATACCTCTACTCCTGCTTAAAAGGTCAGGAAACTGTGTGAATCTATGGAATCTTCCACGTTTGCCAGTCACCACGCGGGGAAATGTACTCTTCATCACATACATACAAATCATGCGACAAGTATTCATTGGTTAATCTCCTCAAAACTAGCTCGCTGATTGGTCAATTCCGACCAATCAGATCGCCTGCACGCGATGAATGATATTTCCCGCGTTTTCAATCTGAGCCGATCACGTGATACCCAGCCTTATATAAACAAAACATGTGTAAGCTCTCTCTCTCTTCAGTCTCTCTTGCGTCTCATTCTTGCTGCCAAAATGTAACCTTAAAGAGTGCCTATCTTAACCATGCGGTCAACACTCACTCAAGTACAAGCAGTCAGACTTTCACCCTTGGAGAGATGCCAAACTAATCCACGCAAGTCAAACAAAACTTTGACCAACTACACTTTTACTGCGCAAACTTCTCTGACTCGGCAAACAACAATCACGCTCACTCTCGGGAACAATTTCTAGCAATTACTTACAATACTTAAAAAGTGATATTTACTCACTACTAAATAAGTATTCGTAGACAATCAATCAAACAACTAAAGGTACACAACTCCTACCAATTCTGAACAATAACTTAAACAAACTTACGTACACACACTAGATTGAACTCGCACAAAGGACATTTTTGTACATAACCAACTACTTAGTTTAATTTTACGAGCAAATCTTAATAAGTTTCACAAAAACACTCAACACAATCTCCTTCAACCATCCTCATTTATCCAAAAATATTCAACCCAATTGTATGTCAATTGTATATAAATTAATGTTATTGTTGCACCTTTAATTATGTTTGTCTTCACTCTGAATTTTCTTGCATGATTTGTTTTCAATGTTCCTTTTACCTCTTAATTTGTTGTGGATGAATGTTTAAGAACACTGACATCATAAATCCTTCTGATAACTAAAAATACATTCACCAGTCTGCAACAAACTGGATGGTAGGCGAACTTATCTAATTTAAAAATTGTTTAAGCATTTTCATTTTGGAACTGAGTTTTCCTGAAGTTTGATTTACTTGTAGCTTAACAGTGGAAACAGTCTGTAGAGTTCCATTTGTGACAGTCTGTTTGATTCACTTCAATGTCCTTAGAAAAGTTGTGAATCGACGATCTTTCTCTCGTCAAGTGTTAAATAGCAGGGCAGGCTGGGCTAACTTTGCTTGGATATCAGTAAGTCTAGAAGAAGGAAAACTTGAACTCGTGTTACCTTGTAGCTACCAAGTTGACTTAACTTCGGCCAGCATTTCACATATCAGAAAAAAACTGATTATAAGCTAAATTTGCCGTGACTTAGCAACTTTGAATGGCAGTCCCTCACTTTCAAGAGTAACCCACTGATATATGTATTTGACTCCTGTTAATATCAGCTACACTAGGGCCAAAATGATATATCTGTTGTCTTGGCTCAGATTGGAGCTGACGAATATTTATATATTCCTCAGTTTTTATTTTCTGTTCTATTGTCTTTCTGCATTATTTATGCAACTCGTATAAGATTACATGTAGGATTTATTCAACAAATATATTCAAATTTTCATTTACACAAATGATACATGCTGATTATTGAGGTGCTTGGAAAAAGAATATTTTCAGGTCTCAATATCCCATTATAGGCATTAATGATATACTAACACCTTACCCCATCCTGGGTATGACGATAAACTACATTCATGTGCTGGGTAAGACAATAAACTACATCCGACAGCAAGGCCTTCGATCAGGAGGTTTTGAGGAGCATCGAACCACCTCTTAATTGCTCATGTTCCCAGGCCCACTCCAACAAAGAGTGGTAGCACATGTTTGGGTCCTAGATATGGGCAAATAGTTACCCCTCCCCCCCAAAAAAAACCGGGGTCAAAACCCTATAAAAGTATAAAAATGGGTTTTAATATCAGCAATACTTTTTTTAGTAAAAATTATTACCAGCAGTACATTTTTGAAAAAAAAAAAAAAAATTATTACCACCAATAAAAATCTTGTCGGAATTAAATAACCCGTTGAGGCTGATATGCCGTAAAACAAACCAAACCTAACACCTTACCAGAATCTAGCAGTTCATCTCTCTTCTTACCCAGCCCAAGTGGGTAAGGATTAGCTTATAAAACTTAATATGACCAAAACAAAACTAGTAACACAGAGAAATAATAACTTAGGAATACAACCAGCAGTGTGAACAGGCAGAAAGTGAGAGGGTCTTAGTTGTAATATTTTGTAACCAGAAAACAGCCAGGCCAGTGGTACATTTTATATTCCTTGGTGGGAAAGCCTGATTTTCATTTTGTTTGTTCTACCACTGCGAGCTTATGATATCGCTCTTCCTCGTGGTCTAAATTGCAACTGGGGTTTGTCACCTGACAAGTTGATGTCACTCGTGTGATCCTTGTGAATCCATCTTACCCAAACGTAGATAATGGCCCTCTGCATCCCAACGCTACAAATACAAATTCTTGTGAAAAATTTGTTTAATAATCACTTTTAATATAGATTGGATTTGAACTCTGTCAATTTCATTGCTTCTCACTGGCTTTATCATTACTTCACAACAAACTGTTTAGAATTTTAAGTTAGCTTTAGTTGTACTATATAGCTGGCCACTCGTAATTGAGGATACCTGTCTACTAGGGTGCCTAGCCAATCTCTATTGCAGACGTTTGTATTGGTTGAACACCCACAGATCTCACCTGTGGTTTATAACTGCCATTATACTAAGCAGATCTTCTGGGAGAGCGCATGTTATCTAGCATGATCAACAATCTGATCAAGGCCAGCACACTCAAACCCTCGGTCACGATGACTTCTGATTTTGTGCTAACCAGCTATATCATGCTGGGATTTCCTTGACAAATCGACCCTGGTGAGATTCGAACGCGGGTCTCCTGGTCAGAAAGCGTATGTTCTAACCACTTGGCCACTAAGTAGCATTTTGTGCTAAGTTTTGAGCATGCATGGTTAAAATTTAGAAACACTTTTATCTTTTTTAATGTTTTTTTTTTTATTTTTTCATAGTATCTGGAAATGTTTAAAAGATGATTTTTTGTATAAAATGAAACACGTGAAATAATATTTTTTATTTCTTTTTATACATAAAACATGTAATAAAAATTATTTCGAGACAAAATAAATCTATCATTATTTCATACAGTCAGTACTGATCGTTTCATTTTCCAATGATGTCATTTTTACCGGGAAAGAAACAAATCCACAGTCGTGGCAAGATTTTTAATTTAGCAGATAACTTATTAGTTTGGTGAATGGAAGGGGTGTATTTGAATAACAATCCTTTAATAAAAAGAAAAAAATGTTTCCTTTCCTCGACGGCGAACCTGTTTTGCAGTCTTGGGTTTGGGTCACAAAATCGGCTTGCTCATCAGGTAAGGACCGATTCCCATCGGTAGGAGAAGCAAGAAAAAAAAATCATTCGACGTATTTCTGGTTTATGCTGCTTATTGGACTGTCGTAGAACTGCTTGATAGTTGTTCTATTAAAAAAAAAAAAAAAAAAAACCCCAAAAAAACAATAAAGATGAGATATTGAAAAGTTTGTTAAACTTAAAATGAAGTTTAATGATGAAAATCTTTAAAACTTTTCATTTACGATTTGTGAATATACAAATACTTGTTCGGTTCAGGGGCAGTAATTCCGAAAGAGTAACCTCCCTTTGTGTGTGTCTGCAAATAAAGAGAAAAAACAGACAGATTTAGAATCCACCGTTCTTAGCATTTACTTTTCTTAAAGAAGTGCTCGATACACCGAGTTACCCAACATCGCCTGATGATGGAACAATTTTTAATTTCCGAAACAGAAATTTTTGTGTAGCGATGCAATATTCATTCTAGTTGAATATACGTCCGATGGACAAAGAAAAATAACTTGAGACAGAAGTTCTCTTACTAAATACCTCCACTATTTCGGCATATTGAAGTTTAAAATGAATTTTTTACAACGAAAAAACATTCTTGAAGATTTCATTTTAGCTTTAATAGAGGTGTTGTCGAAATTAGTTTTAACAGAAAATTTATATAGGTCGTAAGAGACTCTTAGTCTTACCTATATAAATTTTCTGTTAAAACTAATTTCGACAACACCTCTATTTTCTAAAGTTCAATGTTGTTGTCGTTCTCGGAAGTCCACTTAAATCTTAGACAAATCTCCATAGAGTTGACCATGGGAGAAACATAATTTGAATAATTTTTTGTTCCAGTTGTAAAGAATATGGCAAATTTTCATTTTAACACCCTAGCGCTATCCCTTCAATTTTTTCCCAAATAGTCTTATTTCCGTGCAAATGTATATGCTGAACTCAAATCAGCAATTAGATATTAAAGAAACCTACCTTTTTGGATGTTAACGACCCGAAAAAATCGGACTTTTTCCTGGTCTTTCGTCGGCCATTAGCGTCTTATTGATATGTAATTCAGTGCTGAATCCTGTCGGTGGACGTATACAATTTGGGCCTATTTACTCCCTTCACAGTAATTTCTTGTAGTTAACTTTCAAATTAGGGTTAGGTGTTTGTTTATTTTTTTTTTTTTTTTTTTTTTTTAAAGAAGAAAGTAAACTTTCAAATTAGGGTTAGGTGTTTTTTTTCTTTTGTTATTCTTTTATTTGTCGATGTTTACATATATTTGAAAGTTAACTTCATTCTTAAATTAAGTAAAAAAAAAAAAAAAAAATCGCTTTACGGAAACGCATACTAATTTCTGAAAGAAAATAGTTCAGCAGTAAATGATGCTCGGGTGTTAAAATGAAAATTTACCAAGAAAATTTAAGTAAACAAATTATTTTGAAGAATTAGATTAGCTTGGCTGATTTGTAGTAATGAACACCGCAGAAAAAAAAATAAACGAGGCTTATTTTAAATATATATAATATTTTTTTATTTAATTCTTTACTTTATTTCTGCTTTTTAAAAGAGTATATTTACTTGGATTTCATTTTTATATATATATATATATATGTATGTATATGTATGTATGTAAAGTTTTTTTTTTTTTTTTTGTAAATTTGGGCTGAATTTTTACAAGGCAGGTATAAATTCTTTCTATACAAACAGGAATTTAAAAATAAATATCAACAAATATTTCTTATGACTTTTTTCAAATTAGAGATAAAAGTAAATAAGTGATATTAAAATTATTTTTAAAAATTGTTACGCAACTTAAACGTTAGTACTCATGTTGTAAAATGTAATTTGTTCATAAAAAAAGGTATATATTAGAAATTGCTGATAATTAAAAAAAAATTGTTTGTGTCATCATAAACAAAAACTTGTCCTTATGGGTAATAGTTAGGACTTCATAGAGAAATTGTGATCTTATGGTGATTACTGAGAATTGTGATGTGATGTTTTTGCGAAAGGCATATTGTCGTATGATTGGTTCAGTGATTGTGACTAAGTTGAAGGATAGAACAGATGGAGACTTGCCCCAAATCTTGACTGTGCCATCTCTTGAATAGGAGTTGCGGCCCATCAGTCACTCATCTAGGTACTGAGTGGGTTCTATGTTGCTTAACTTCAGTGATCATACAGGAACCATTATTTCAATGTGATATGGCTGTAAGCCATATCACATTGATATTCTCTATATTGATCAATTATGTTTTAATGCACTATTTACATTATTCGGACTATTGTCTTCATCTTTGTTGCCATATTTATTACAACGTTTCAGCTGTTGTACGCTCCAGCCTTCTTCAGGTGATGGAACAACGGCCAAAACATTGTAATAAATATGGCGAGAAAGATGACATTAGTCTGAATAATGTAAATAGTGTATATAATACCTCATCTCAGAAATATAGACAGATATGTTTTAATGGCGTATCAACTCTGTAGGTTATGTAATGCTAAAGAGATTTCTTTTTTTAAAATCTACAGCTTAGGAACAGTCCTTTGGGCTGTTGGTTTCATCCCTCTTCAGTTATTTTTTTGAACAAAGTTATTTAGTATGACTTTTGTCTATAATACTAACATCTTGTTCTTCATAATAAACTAGTTGACTGAAAGGTCTTCAACGAAAACACAAATTTGAATATTTTATTCACAATTCTGATTTGAATGGTCACCTTAATCAAATTTTGGGAAAATGCAAAAAAAAAAAAAAAAAAAAACCTGCAGTTGTCTTACCATTTGTAGATGATTCTTGGCCAAAAAAAATGCACACAAAAAAATTTATTGCAGGTGACAATCACACTGAAAAAAAAAAAAAAAACCTCATAAGACAAGACTAGTCTTTGTAAACATTAACAAATACGAGGTCTAATCATATTTGAGAGATATTTTTAAAACTATATTTAAAGAGAAAATTAACTGGATACTCTTTACATGCCATAAGACATGGGAGTTTGCATACTAATGCATCCTATTGTTGGTTTCCTTCTTATAAAGAATGATTGCAAAATACTTTACCCTGTCCAATTTATAGGCAAAATCACAGATGCATGCTGGGATTTCTTCCTAGCCAATAAGATAGTCCATTTCTTGCTTTTGTATGACTCAGTCCTGGTCTGTCTCGTCTTGAAGTCTGACTGCTACAATCATTTATCCAAATTTGCTCTTGTGTGTCAACACCAAATCTGAGTTTGTGAACTTTTTGCCTTATTGCTGTTGTTTTGTCTTGTATATATTATTTGCTTGCAGGGCTGGATCACAAAGTTTTATTCAGTGCAACGATGGAGAGTCTAGAAAATATGACTTGCCACCAACTAAGATGGACTGGACCCCTTGTCCGAATGCTATACATCTGTCTACCCAAACAGATCGTCTTTGCATCAGGCAAGAAACCACATGGAGCCTCCATGTCGTCAATTCAAGGGTCAGCTTAAAAAACACCTTGCTGAGGATAGAAATGAATCCAGTCAATTGGGAGACACACTGCAGAAAGGACCAATTGGGGAAGAGCAGTCCATGAAGAAACATCCTTTGAAAACACTAGAAGAGACAAATAGAAGAGACCCTCTCTATTCCCTGAACCTGCTTAACTATATGATACGGTGACTGCAGATGTTTCTTCAGATCCAACATAGGACTCATTTCACACAGAGGGAAATGTTGATGAGCACCCCCCCCAATACTTGACAACCAGTTCAACCAATGACATTTTTTGCCCTGTTCTCTTCTTTTCTTGTCACTTGTGTTTGTTGGGCAGTTCTGCCATTTACATTTAAGTGTGGCCATTTATTCTAGACTCATTGTGAGACAGAAACGATTTAACAAAGAATCAAGCCTCTTTATCTGTCAAGATAGGACACTTGAAGAAGCTCAAGAAATGGTTTCTGCAAATTATATTCAGATCTATTTGTAGCATAATTTTCTAAAAATCAAACCAACCAATTTTTCTTCTTTTTCAGTTGCAGTCTCACTGTGCCGCTCTTCTGTGGAGGAAGCAACGAGCAACATTCCTTTGTCAGTCTCTATTCGTCGCGTGGCCCCTATTTTATCAATTCTTCTCTCAGGGTTGTGGCTGATCAGATTGTCGTCAACCAGACTGTCACTCTGGATGCTGCTGTCTATTTATCTGCACTTGTCAATTTCACCAAAAGTAAGTATCACCTCCATTCTTAATGCATTAATGTCTGGGAGAATATGATATAAAAATTTTCATATATCAGAACAATATTTGTCTATATCTCTGAGATGAGGTGTTATGATTATTTACATTATTCGGACTGTTATCCTCATCTTCATTGTCATATTCACAACATTTCAGCCATTGTACACTCTGGCCTTCTTCAGGTGACTGGAATTTTGAACCCTTTATTTCATCCGCTGGGGTAGAGTGTTCTGGTTCCATGTGCCAGGCCTCTTCCAGTTGTCTCAATTATTTCCTTTTAATTCAGCTCTCCAAGTTTTTTGGTTCACCACTGTTTTAGCCTGGTATTGAACTCACAACTCTTTGTTTGGAGTCACTGGGTTTAACCAACAGCTTTATCCACTGGGACCTTGAGGACACATGGCCCATAGGAGAAACCTTAAAGAATTTAAACAGAGGATTATGTAAACACAAAAGGGATCTTTTACAAAACAATACTAAATGCTTTTGTTGTCCATTGTCATGAGTCTGACTATTATTTATTTATATATATATATATATATATATAATGCTACTCTACTTAAGAGAAAACAATTTATTATGGCAACAGTGTATAAAAACTATTTTGATTGCTAGATCATCCACAGTAAATTTGCATCTAGTTTCTTACACCATTTCACCTTTCTTGTCGGATCTTTCATTATCAATATATGGGATATTTAAAAACAAAAGTGATTAAAAACAGGAACGAAAGCATAGGGAAACTAAATGAGATCAGATAGACAGCATATCCAGACACGTCTGAGAAAAACAAAAAAATCAAAGTTCTCTTTAAATCCCACATCCTTGGTGTTTCCCCTCGGTACATTATTATAACCAATGCTTCCATTTTTATATCTCCCCCCTCCCACACAGAATTCCATCAATAAAAAATTACTTCAGCCTGAAGTCGTTCTAAAAGAGGAAACTTGGAACACTGTTTGTTTTTTTGTTTTTTTTCCTACTTTTTCATTAATTTGCCTAAAGTCAGTGTTTATAAAACCATGTCAAATGTGAACCTTTGTGCCCACAAAATAAATGGAGTGTCAAAAGGACAGTTTTTCCCTTGACACTACTATTATTTGAACTACTTTCACTCCTCAGCAATGTTTGTTTTTGTTGTAGCCTAGGGAAGGTTACTGAATAGAATAATCACATGAAGGTTGGATACTTAGGATAAGAACAACGTGTAAGATTCGGCAGCGGTGCATAGAAGTAGTAGTCAACTGCTAGAAGAGTCGTGAATTCCACAATGAATCTCCAACTGCAGATGAGCATGCAGTATTTACTACTGTATTTATGTGAATGGGGGACATACCCATTATCGTCCATACAACAATTTTAAAAAGCGATGATTAGAATTGTAATAAAACCTAAACATGATGAAAGTGAATTTATAAACTTTCTTTGTTCTTGAGAATTAACAACAAAAATAATAAACACTATTTATTGCATTGTTTATTGGAACAGTTGGCAAAACATTGGCTAATTGCCAATTGATTTAAACTTTATAAAATAGTAAATAAGGATTTTTTTATACTTGTTTCACATATTTGAATAATTTAGTAAATGTTTATAAATTTATGAATAAATAAATGTTTTCATATTTATTTCTTTATAAATGGATTAATGATAAATATTGCATTAATTTTTAGTATGTTTTAAATATAAAATTTTTGTTGTAAATAAACAATAGTGTTTAATATTTTTGTTGTAAATTCTCAAGAACAAAATAAATGTATAAAGTCACTTGCATCATGTATTTAGGTTTTATTACAATTCTAATCACTTTTTAAAACAAACATTACTGATGAGTGAAGGTAGTTAAAATAATAGCAATGTCAAGGGCAAAACATTCCGTTTGGCACTCCATTGTTTTGTAGGCATGAAGGTCCCCAGTTTGCCAAAATCACTATCTAAGGGAGATAACTATTTTTAGATTGTAGTGCTTGTAGAGAAAAAAGTTGAAAAATCCATATAAATTAAGATTTGGCAAACTGAACAAATTACACAGATTCTAATTAGAGAAGGCACATTATTAAAACATATTCTGTTAATTCATCAGTTTCAAATAAAATATTGGAAATAAATAAAACATGATATCCCTACTGTGTAGGTACCAACTTAAAATTTTAACCTGTAATATGCATAGAAAAATAGATTTCACAGTATTTAAAATCTATCAAGTTATTAATCTGCAAAGTTTCAGCCTTTAAGTATGTGTCATCACTAAGTTATTAGAAATGTTATACTCTTCCAATAACTTACTTTAAAATGGTGTTAAGCATTTCCCTGTTAAACATTTGCACACACATTGTGTCTACTATTACATTTGTGTATGAGGTATAAATAAAAGCTCAAGGTATCCATGTAGTAGACTGAGTAGCAGCAGAATGCAACAATCCAAGTCAGAATCATTAAGAAATCTTCCTGGGTCTTGTCTATTCCCTTTTATATAATAACTCTTCATTAAAAACTGGACTTAAAAAACGAAAATAGTTTTTGTAAAATGTGTCGATGATTTTTGGAATATAAAATATATATATATATATATATATATATATATATATATATCATGATGTGATTTATGAAAACCTAATTTTAAGGGGGGGGGTCACATCATGCATGAGATATAAAATTAGCATATGTACTGCTGACCCTGGCTACATGGTTGACCAAACTATATATCCATTTACTGTTGTCAAAAGGTACAGCTGTATTTAAAATAAACATGATTTTGATAAAAACTGATATTTTACTTAACTCTATCCAATAATAATGCATGTAATATTAACATATTAGTATTGTATTATAAAATGCAAACATAGCAAATATGCATCTTTTCCATTGTTTACATTTATAAGATTTTTAGCTGTTCTCATCTGGTTGTTCATGGCCATATGCGTTTATGCAACGAGTATAGCATTACTAACGATGCTTTTGTCATTCTATTTTAGATTTCTATCTTTTTTTTTTTTTTTTTTTTTTTAAACATTTCACCCCAAGGCGGGAAGCCACTAGGACGCAAGGGGTTACAGAAAGTTTAGATCAAGATCAGATAGGAGTGATAGAAGAAAGGATGAGGGTAGTGGATAGATCAAGGCAACTTGAGATGTTGATTGACATTACACTTGAATAGCTGGAGATTATAGCTCACAGGGAAACAGGAAAAGGGAAGGGAGTTCCACAGGCGAGAGGTACGAGACATGAAGCTATTAGAGTAGAAGAGACAGCTATATTTAGGAGTTACGACGGTGAAGGGGTGAGAGCGGGATGCCAGCCTCGTAAGGCGCTGGAACGCATGATGTCTGGGAACCAGCGAATGCAGCTCCTCGGAGCAATTTCCATGAAAGTATTTGTAGAATAGACAGAGGGAGGCGATGGCACGTCTGTGAGAAAGTGACTGTAGACAAGACGCTAGAAGATGGGATAAAGAGATAGAGGAAAATAGGTTTGGCCTAATTTGGTCTCTCAAAAAAAAAAAAAGGAACTCACATGATGCATAAGATACATGATAAAATCATTTTTTATAAGTGAAAATTTGTGAGTTGCATGATAGTAGTGCATTACATGAGGATATACGGTACTTCATCAGCTTTTTTTCCTTGTTCTTTGTGGATGAGTTGGATATTTTCACATGGCCAAATTTTAATCCACTCAGCTTTCCAAAAGATGTTAAATGAATTTTCATTTTTAATTGTCTTTTTTTTCCTTTTGATTTTATTTGTAGTTTTTTATCAACCCACACTTGATTGATAGACTTTTAAATCTTTATGGTAAACAGAGTGAAATTAAAATAAAGAAATACCTCCCAATAAAATTTGGACTCTCAGCTGAAGTCCTGTTAGCTCATAATGGTACAGAGAACTTTCAATTAAATATTCTAGATCATCTCTTTTTTTTTTTTTTTTTTTTTTTTTTTTTTTTTTTTCCCCTCTCCCTCTTCTGAATTTCTAGGGTGAAGTGCTTGTAGTATTGTATGTAAATGAGATATTGCTATAAAAGCAGAACGTCACAGTGAATGCTAGTTGAGCTACCATCTGTTAATTTGACAGTGTCTATCCCAGAGATTACTCTACTTCATAACAATATGGCATCGCTGATAAGATCCTTAATGGCATTGGATGAACTGGAGCACACTGAAATATGGATTAGATGTTTCACAGCATTGGCTCGGGTAAAGAAACTGAAAGACAAGAAAGCCTCTGCAAGGGAGAATGAAATTACAGATTTATTTTTGGCTTTAACAGAATGTGGCACCATAAAGAAAATATCCATTATGGTGTACCCCAAAATACTGGAGGACTTAACATATGAGGAAATTTTAACCATTACAAAAAGAAACATGTGACCCCCCCAAAAAAAAAAAAAAACCCAGGTTATTGCAGGGAGAATAAAATTTCTGGAAAATAGACAGAATGTGAATGAAAGTGTAAAGCAATATTTACACAAATTGAAAGAAGCATCAAGATATTGTGAATTTGAAAAACTGGGTTTGCAAGAAAAATCTATCAAAGACAAATTGATCCTTCTAAGATTACTTGAAGGCATATATGATGTTACATAAAAACATAAGATCCTAGAATGTCTACAAGCAAATGATATGAATTTAGAAGCAAGTGCAGAATTTTTGAAGCAATTAGAATTAACAAATTTAATAATTCTAAAAACAATGTGGAAGCATGCAACACAACTAAAATCCTAATTAAGTGCAAATATTGTAACAAAGAACACAAAAGAAACAAAAACAAAGGAAAATTATGTTTAAACTGTAAAAGAAAAAACCATTTCCAATCCGTGTGCAGATACAAAAAGAGTATAGAAAGGAAAAGGGTAGAAAATATTAACCCTCATGCTGAAAGTACAGAAGTACATTCAATAAGAAAACCAGCAAAAAAATAGATAGACAGTAAAATTGAATGTTATAACATTCTCATGCAGGTTGACACGGGGAGCAATGTTACCTTAAT